AGAGCAAATAATGGATGGTAGACATTCACTCTAGTTTTATTCAAGTCACCCATCCAAAACTCTTCTTCCTTGGCTATATCCTTCTCACCCCTCATTCTATCTGAGTATCAATCATCTGGCTTTGTAAACCATTTTTTAATTCTGGTCTAATGCCTTGAGCTTGATACCATTCCTAGCATGGTTCTCTAACAAATTTAGGTTGTCACCTAAGTATAGTAATTTGGAGTGAAATACCCTTCCTATGACCTAAGGTCTCCTTCCATTCCTTCACCCCACAGACAGAAGTCCCAGACTTCTGCCAAACCTATTCCAGCCCTCTGAAACCCTTGATCCACAGGAGTTAGAAGATGGTCGTATTTCTTGGCAACCACAGGTCTAGAGCAATTATGGCTCCTTTTGGAAACCAATACATTGACACTCTGTTCTGTAAATTAGTATCACTATGGATGACTACATGAATATGCCCTATTTTAGGGCATACTGGTGACTTCAACAAGACACAGCCACATAATGAAGTTTAGTTTGAAAAATCCAGCCAGTTAGCCTTACTATTTTGGGATAAATCTAGGGGGTTGGAGGCAAAACTCCAAGCAAAAAAGGAGAAGAAACTGAAACCATGAAATGTATGACATATAAACTAAACTAGAATAGTAGTGAGAATATTCCTTTCAGTCCCAAACTTCTTTCCTAGCTATTTGGATGTTGATCATTATTCTTGTTACTTATCTTGGGAAGTGTTTGTATTTTAACAGATACTTCTTAAGTCTTAATCCAAAAGAGTGATAATGTGGGGCATTAAGTCCAATGGCAGGCAGAAATTTCAAAGCAGAATGACTAACAGAACATCTCAACTAAGAACATGAAAGCAACTGCTTACTCTACCTACTTAAAAGGCAGCTACATTCCTGAATGTATGGAAATAAAAGATATAATAAACATATCTTCATAGTCAAAAAACAAGGTGTTAAGACTTCTTTCTCAACAGGGGATAAAAAGCAATAACATAATTTCATTTGATATTAAGAGTTCTTATACTTGATTGGCAAGTTTGTACTTTGAGACATTTTGTGTGTCCTGAATAGACATATATGTTACAAAATGATCTGTGTCCCTCCAAAATTGGGGACCTTGAGGCCTTAACCCCACTGTGATGGTATTTGGAGGCAGAGCTTTGGGGAGGTAATTAGGTTTAGAAGAGTTTATGAGGGTGGGCTCCCATGATGGGATTGGTGTCCTGTTAAGGAAAAGACCAGAGTTCTCTCTCTCTGTTTATGTAAGGACACAGCAAGGTAGCCATCAGCAAGTCAGGAAGAGAGTCCTCACCAATGAACTAAATCAATCAGCTGGCATCCTGAACTTGGGCTTTCTGGAACTGTGAGAAATAAATTCCTGTTATTTAAGTCACCCAGTCTACAGTATTTTCTTATGGCAGCCAGAGCTGATACAACACATATTTTTTAAATAAATAATAATAATAATGATCTACTTCTACTCATCTACTAAAATTAATCAGTGTACTTGCTTGGGTCAGTTACCCAATGATGTCATTTGAGTGATAACAGGTTTCAGGTTAAAATTCTGTCCATATGGGAACTGATTAGGTAATACACTGTGAAGACTGGGTCATTCACTGGGAAGCCAGCCAGGGAACAAGGCGGGAGCAAAGCTGAAGAATCTGCTGTCAGAAGTTGAATCTAGAAAAGCCACTGGATCAATATCAAAGCCTGGAGTTAATGAGTAAGAGCAAGATAGTGTCGGGAGCCCTTGGGTCAAACAAATCAGATGAGACTTATATAGGAAGAGAAACAACCCCATGGTCCATTGAGTCTCACATTATTATTCTCTAGGAGAAAAAGACCTGATAATGTGCCATTGTGTAAACAAATTTGAGGATTGGTGTGTATACATTTGTTGCAGTGTGTAAGTTTTAAACCATGACATATACAAATGCATCTTTAAAGTCTAGTAGTGGAAAATCATAAGCCAAAGTGTGAAGTGTTGTTGATAAACATGTGCCTTACAACACAGACTGTAGGGTTAACCCAGCAACCACAGCAACCTCAACTGATCATGAACTTAAACAGCAAGTTTTCATTAAAAACAAAAATAGCGATTAAAACCATGACCAACTTAGGGTGAACATGAAACATCCTGCCTCCAAACTGGGAATTCCAATTACAACTTGTTTGTGGGCATGCACAGCAGATCTTCACAAACTCCCAAGTGTTTTGTGGCAGAGACTTAGAAAAATCTGTGTCTTCAAGAAAGTATGGCCAAATTTTAGTGTAGGAATATCAAATTTTAGTAACTCTCAAACTCACTCAGTAGGTAATTGCTAATAAGCAGCTTACATAAAAATCAAATGTTGTGGAATTCTGGGTAATTTGTCGGTAAGAATCGTGAAAAGGACCTGCATTTGGGGAAGTCTGTCATTTACTAATGGGAGTCTACTGCACAGTTGAGAACCACTGGCTGCTGGGTGGGGGCTGTGCTGGAGCAGCTGCTGTTCTAGAGCAGTTGGGCTCCTGGCTTAGCATGCTGCCCATGGTCCACTGGGTTTTCAGAACTCCTCCCCACTCTTTACTGAATAGCTCATGGTCATTCTGTAACGGTGATGTCCTGGCTGCTCCATAACACTATTTGAGCTTCCTTTCTGGAAGAGATAAAAGATGTCCCTGGTCGTACCATTCCTGAACTAGACCTCTCTCGTGTACCCGGCTTATAAAAAGAGTGTGACGATTTGGGAAATGATTTAGGAAATGATGATAAGCAATGAGGGCCAAATTTTGGCATCTATATATGATCTGTACATGAGCAAGACTTGTTTTTATGCCCTTTTAAGCATCATAGTTTATACTGACAAAGCTTTAAAAGTGTGGGCTCAAAGGACAGTGAGTCTGGGTATCATTATTTTTTTTTTAAAGAGTTTATTTTTTTTATTTTTTATTTTATTTTTTTTTTTTTTATTTATGATAGTCACAGAGAGAGAGAGAGGGAGAGGCAGAGACACAGGCAGGGGGAGAAGCAGGCCCCATGCACCGGGAGCCCGATGTGGGATTCGATCCCGGGTCTCCAGGATCGCGCCCCGGGCCAAAGGCAGGCGCCAAACCGCTGCGCCACCCAGGGATCCCTGGGTATCATTATTTTGAAGATTAATTTCTAAGTTATGCATTTACTTGAAGGATTAAAAATCCTGAGTAATTTTAGCAATAATGTAGACAACGTCCACATCTAACATATATGGTCTATTTTCTATCATGTAGTCAAAAGGAACATAGCATATAAACATATATCAGAAATCCTAGGGTAATTTTCATTTCTAGGAAAACAGCAAAGGCTACAAACAAAATAATAGATGTTCACATACTCCTAACAAAAGCTTATAATTTCCTGCAAAAGAAACACACCACCTGCTTCAGGATGTGGGTAAGACAAGCATGTTCCTGTGGTAATGATTTCCCAAACAAGAAAAAAGTTAGAAAGGCAAATCTTTGTTAAGCTGCAGACTACCAGGTCTCCTGATTTATGAAAGCAATAAGAATAGAGTAGATAGAGCTGTTTAAGAAATAACTTAGAAATAAATACTCTATAAATAAGAAAAATCTGCTAAGTTGAATGTCTTTTAATTTACCACAGAAAAAAATACCTTCACATATTTTAATAATGTCAAAGCACTTATTTTGTAGTATATTTTAGGGTGACACACTAGATCTACTATATTCCACAAGCATACAAAATAAATATGCATATATATCCTGTAAAGTCCCAGTAAATTCTTTTAGTGATACAATTGCAAGGATGGCCACTTAATTTCACATAAGCTGACTTATCGTTTTATAAAAACTTTATCTCTTTTTTTCCAATTGTTTTTATTTTTTTATTTTAAGTAGGCTCCAAGCCCAGCATAGAGCTTAATGTCAGGCTTGAACCCACAACCCCAAGATCAAGATCCAAGCTGAGATCAAAAGTCAGATGCTTAACCAACTGAGCCACTCAGGCACACCCACAAATCTTTTGTAATATTTCCATATTAGTGTTATTTCACACTTTGCCCTGTTCATTGTCATTCACTCATTCATGCATCCTTTCAACTAACATTTTATTGTATATTTGCTAAATATCAGCAAATTAGGTCAAATCATTCTTCCTTCTCTTTTTTTTCACATTGCACTTACTACCTTTCTGAAACTCATTCAGTAATATAATGGACCTCATTCTTCATTCCATTGATGCTTATCTGCTCAGAACTTCCATCTGATAGCTCTTAATTTTACATCTTTCTTTTCACAGATGAAATGTGGTAGGAAGAGCAGGGTGGTGAGGGAAGAAATTAATATGCATTATTTGCATCCAATATGCAGTACACTTGATGATGTATTTAACATGTATTATCTTAGATAAGTTTCATGACAACAAAATGAACTGAGTCTCTCCTAGGCTGCCCAAGGTCTCACCTTGGTCTACCTGACCCCCGAAGGCTTATCAGCAGCTCTTTTAAACACAATGGCACCTACTACATTTTAAAATCTCTGAACAAAGTTTTTTTTAACCTATGCTACTCCTAAAACTCAGAACTTCTCCTTTTCCAGATGTCTCTAAAAACGATATGTAACTGCATACTATGTAAACAGATTACTAAAGAAACACCTTTATGCAAGAGTTTTTGTAGCAAAGGTAGACAGTTCAAACAAAGAAAATGCGAATGAACAAATCAAGATAAATTTTTAAAATTCTGAAAACTATCAGCCCTAACAATGTATTATGTTTTATTTTTTCAGACCACTCTTCTACTATTACTGTGAGTTACAGATAATAGATTATGAATAGGTGAGGCAATTAAAAATTAGTATATAAGTAAAAATTAAACCAAGGGAAAATGCAAACATAGAATGTCCATTTTTATTAATAGGGATGAAATGACATAATGTTACAAAATTAATGTTAAAGAAACACCATGTATTATGTTGCATTGTCTCCCATTATTCCATATTAGTGAGTACCTTATATTCTTCATAATCATTGCTATCCAGCAAGTCCCTCTTCTCCAGTTCTATAACTTGTTCTGCAGAGGGCGTGGCTGGTAGTTGCTTAATAGAGGCTTGCTTGTATATGGGCTTTCCATTAAAAAACAGTTCCTTCCAATCATGCATCAACTTATATGGAATCAAACTATAGCAAAAAAGATTTTTAAAAAAGGTAGAGATGAATCAATGGTTAGTCAAATATACACCTTAAACTTTAGTCTTTCTAGTATCATATTCATTCCCAAGGGTCTGCTATATGAGGCTGGGGATTCCACTTACTATTAATGTATATTATTAATGGTTAGCAGACTGTTTGAAACTTAGGTTTGAATGAATCAATGTTATTTCAAGCGACAGGTTCTTCAAACTTTCATACTGACTGTGCACTCACAGAACAAAATATCTGAAAATAGTGAACACTATCCTAAAACTTAGGTTCTTTAATTCCCAGCTATGACATTAAATGACTGTGCAATCTTAGGAAATCTTTTAAATGCTCTAATATCAGTGTCTTCCTGTGCAAAATGAGCATACTATTTTCCAAAGCCCCTTTAATATGACAGTTGGTTTACATATTTGTAAGTAAATTGTAATAGAAAAATCAAATGTATGGTGGTTTTATTGTCATTGTGTATTTGATAACCTTTAAAACTATTTTTCAGTAATTATTTCTGTTTAAGTCTGGTGAATGATAATCAGGATAGGTTGATGGGAAAATAGTTTCAAGAAGAACAAAATGCAAAGGAAGGAAAGAGTCTGACATGGTTCTGATGCATTTCTCTAAAAATAGTTGGATTAGAGCTTGGAATTACAACAAAAAAGTATTATGTTATTTATTTCATTGCTATCCATGCCACATGGATGAGACTTCAAGACATTAGGTTAAATGAAATAAGCCAGATACTAAAAGAACAAATGATGTATGACTTCATTTATATAAGATAGATCCAAGAATAGACAAATTCACAGAGATCAAACGTAGAATAGAGGCTACCAGGGGCTGGAGAGTTATTTAATGGGTACAATACTTCAGTTTGGAATGACAAAAAAGTTCTGGAGATGGATGGAGGCAACGGTGGCACAGTAATGTGAATGTTCTTATGCCACGGAAATATATATCTAAAATGATTAAAAAGGCCAATTTTATGTTATGTATGTTTTGCCACAATAAAAAAGTAGTATTTCAATTAAATGTACTTCAAATATAATCACATTATGTTTTCCATTAACAAAATATTTATAGTTGTGGAATTTTACTTGTAGAGATATGGAGGTTTAGAAATTAACAAGCTCAGGCAAAGAAATATTATAACATCAGAATTATTGAAATGGCATTGGTTTCTATGGTGAAGTAAGTGATTAACAACTTATATATTGTCCAAAACTTAATCTTACAGTTACTTAATTAAATCCTATTATCTGTTAGTAATAATTTCAAGAAGCAGTTTAAAAAATCAGTTCTGCTGAGTAGGCTGATACCAAAAATATACCTGTGCTTTATAAAAAATATATACTGATAATATCTTGCTTAATGAAGTAACATGAGTTTATTTTACTGTTAATAGCATAGACTAATAAAATATTTATATGTGTAATTGTTGTGTTTGGTTGCAATTAAAAGACACGGATCTTACACAGTACACGAAAATAACTCAAAATGAATTAAAGACTTGTATCTAAGACCTGAAACCATAAAACTCCTAATAGAAAACATAGGCAGTAAGCTCTTTGATATTGGTCTTCACAATGATTTTTTGGATTTGATACCAAAAGGAAAGGCAACAAAAACAAAAATAAACAAGTAAGACTACATTCAACTTAAAAGATATGCAAGGCAAAGGAAACAATCAACAAAAAGAAAAGGCAACCTACCAAATGGGAGAGAATATTTGCAAATACATACCTGATAAGAAGGTAACATCTAATATAAGTAAAGAATTCTCACAACTCAATAGCAAAAAAAGCTAACAATTCAATTTTAAAAACAGGTAGAGGATCTGAAGGACATTTTTCCAAAGCAGACATACAAGTGGCCAACAGGTACATGAAAAGATGCTCAACATCACTAATCATCAGGAAAATGCAAATCAAAACCATAATGAGATACTACTGGACACCTGCTACAATGGCTGGTATCAAAAAGACAAGAAATAAAAAGTAAGGATGTGGAGAAAGGAGCCCTTGTGCACTGTTGGTGGAAATGTAAACTGGTGCAGCCACTGTGGAAAACAGTGGGTTCTCAAGAAGATCTCAGTCTAGGTAATTTGAGAAATATACACATTTAACTTATCTTTGTCCTTGTGGAATTACTTGGATTGAGATCTACTGCGATGTCATTTCCCCTCAAGCTTTCAGCAAAGAGTATCTCAAGAAATAAGTCGATGATGCCTAAAAGATGACGCTGAGGGCAATCTCCACTAGATCCACTCTGCTACTTACTGTGCCTTAGGTGAGGGTACCACATGAGAGAACTATTGTTCTAAACTGAGTGCCATGAAAAGTTTTGTATTTTGTAAAAAACCAGAATGGAAGATGGAAAACACATGACAGATTGTATTTTCCTTTTTCTTTGGCTACCAGGAAGCTCACATAAAATTTGCAGCTAGGTTGCAACAACTGGCAAATCTGTGGCGGCTAATATAACTGTGTTCCAATTTATCAGTTGTTCTTAACTTCCTACTTTAATTTGGATTTTCCTCTGTTCTTATTCTGGCATATTATTAATATATTTTGTATTGTTGAATATTTCCTTATAATTAAGGATTATAAATACATTCATTTCCTTTATTTTTTATTTTTAAGCATTTTTTTTTATTTATTCATGAGAGAGAGAGAGGCAGAGACACAGGCAGAGGGAGAAGCAGGCTCCATGCAGGGAACCCAACATGGGACTCAATCCCAGGTCTCCAGGATCAGGCCCTGGGCTGAAGGCGGTGCTAAATCGCTGAGCCACCTGGGCTGCCCACATTAATTCCTTTTAGAAATAAGATGTAATGAAAATAGATTTAATGACTAGTAAAATAATATTCAAGTAATTCCAGTCTTTTAGGAAGTTCCAAGTGTTTCAAATAAACTATCATAGTTGTCTTTGCAAATTGTAGGGAATTTAGACACAGAGTTTTAATGTTAAAAAATATATAAATACACCTTAAATAAGGCTCACTGGTGGGTGAATTAATTCAGTAATCCAGTTATCCTGGACCCCACTTCTACATATTTTTTCATGAAAAATTTTTGTCTCTCTTATCAACTGAGTGTCTACATTACAATCTTATCCTTTCTCACTTTCTGTGATGTCTCTACTGTAATGATTATAATGTTTATAAAAAAGAACACTTACTTATTTGTCAACATCCGGTAGTCTGACACTTTAGTGGAAAGATCAAGTATTTGATCCAAAATTTCTGCACATATTGTATAATGCTTTTTGTAACGAGCTTGAGCTCTTTCCACAGTGATCTGTTCATGAATTTCCTTCTCTCTAATGGCTTGTTCCTCAAAATCAATCTTGGCTTGTTTCGCCAAAGCCTAGGAAGGCAAAGACATTTTTAAGTCAATGTAATTGGGCGATGATTCACATGAAGATAATATTATTATCTCAAAAGGCAAAAAAAAAATCTCTAAATAGAATGAAACCTCCTTTTACACCCAGAAAAGCTTACTCATGAAAGAGCACTTTTGCCTTATTAAGTACTGAGTATGATGGCAGAGACAATATCGGAAATATTCCACCTTTGGCTTAGCTTATCGGTAAAATACAGTTCAGAGAAAAGTGGTCTAACTTCAGAAAGCCAAGGTAGATTAATGATAAATTGGATCTTAAGTGTTTAAAAAGAAGCCTTGAGTTCATGTGTTGCAAATAGTCAGAGTCAGGGATCACAGAGAAGCAGACAAGTAAGTCTGTGCCAGACCCTAGCACAGCTGACCCCTTTGTACCCATCGTAGGAGCCTTAACCTGACATAGCTGCTCCATCCAGCCGGTGCCCTCCATCTTGTAGTGAGAGTTCTAGGATACTGATTTATACTTAGAAAATATTTTGGAAGACCCCTGTTATAACTGGTTTGGGAATATCACATATGCACTAACAAATGTTAAATGTATCCAGACAACGACAAAAATTCTGCTGTTGTAACCACAATAAATTGGTAAAATTTACTTACAGAGAACATTTATTTCTGCAGAAAGTAATGAAATACTTATAGTTTGTCATTACCCTCTGCTTGGTTGGCACTATTATTTTGTTTAGAGAAACTCTTCACACAAAGGCCAAAGGTCAAACCCAGCATGCCTACATGTTGCTTTTCAAATAGCTATCCCAGCTCCTTGAGAAATTATAGCCTGTGCTAACATGCTCCAGAAACATGACTTGCCTCCTGTAACTAAATCCAATGAGTGTAAAATGGAGGTGACCTCAGAGGACACGCCAGTCAGTCAAGCCCCAGCCTGTATACAGAAGTCAAGTCCTAGGCTCCTCATCTGAGCCTCCCTCAGTGTTAAGTGGGGTATTTTTTTTAATTTTATTTATTTATTCATGAGAGACATAGAAAGAGAGGCAGAGACATAGGCAGAGGGAGAAGCCTGCCTATGTCCAATGGGGAGCCTCAGTCCCAGGACCTGAGGACCATGACCTGTGCCAAAGGCAGATGTTCAACCAGAGCCACTGAGGTGCCCCCATTAAATGGGGTATTAAGAAGACTTGGCATACACAGAAAAAAAATCACCAAATCATCCTGTTGGGGCAAATATATCTTATGCTATGATTCACACATGACTAAATGCCCAACAATGGATTACTTTTGTCCACTGAACCAAATGGAAGATTCATTTGTTTTTGTTACTGTTATTTTATTTTGTTTTCTTTTTATTGGGAAAGTGGTTGGACTGGGTGACCCCTGAGGTCGGTCCCGTACATTTGGCAAGTTCAGGAATCACACCAGAATTTGTTATTGCTGTATTGTTCTGTAGGCCCTGTCTTCCTAGGGAAAGCATACCATTTAAGTACACAACTTTACTGTGTGCTTCAGAACCTGTGAAGAGGTCAGAGGAAGAGGAATCTAAAAGAGCAGGAGTAGCCAGATGAGAATTTGGGGAGTGGCAGTAAAATGGGTTGTGAAGTTGCTTTCCTGCAGAGAGCCTGTAAAGCATGTGGAAATGTTTTGTGTGTGAAGAGAGCTCAGCCTTGCAGGGAACTGTGGAATGATCCGAGCAGGAAGACAGCAGCTTTCACCTCGGTGCTGTCTCCCTACCTCCCTCCATGCCTTTCTTCCTTCTTTTTAGCTACCAGTCTTCTACCTTTACCCCACCCCACCTCCCTGTGCTAAACCCACCACAATTTCCTGTCCCATTACAGCAAAGTGGGTTGAAGCCCTAAAAAAAGAAAGAAGGAAAAGGAAAAAGGAAGTCTGTGGGAGGTAGTCAATCTCGGCGGTTATGAGCCCAGACTCTGTGCTCCTGTCTCCACCACTGACAAGCTGTGTGAATGCAAGCTTTCTTGCAAAATGTAGACAAGGATAGTGTCCACTTCCAACAGCTGTTGTGAGAATTAAATGTGCATGTCATCAACATAGCTTAATGACTGACTCACAGTAAATACTAAAAAATGTTAAATATTATTATAATTAGGTACTACTACTAACAGAAGGTAGAACAGAAATTCGAAATCAGAAACTTACAGTAGATGCCCAATTATCTTAAAGGATGAGATAAGTAATCTAAAAACAAAACCAAAACAGACAAAGACTAATAATGGACAAAACAAAGTTGTCTCTCTCTTCTCCCTTCCTCCTTCTCCTTCTCCTTATTCTTCTCTCTTTCCCTTTCTGCACCACTGCTCCCCCCACCCCCAACCTTTCTTTGTACCAGACGTTGATCTAAGCCCTGCAGAAACAGTAGTGAGCAGAAGCAACCATAATCCTTTTCCTCATGGAGCTTACATCCAGTGGGAGAGGCAGTAAAGTCACACAATGAATATACACCCACGCAATAGAAGTGTCACCAGGAAGGACTATGGAGTATGACCCATCACAGGAGGCCTGACCTAGACAAGATGGGGCCTGTGCACGGAGCTCTGAAACGTGAGAATTAGCTGGGGAAAGGCACGTGGGAAGAAAGAGAAGAGCAGAAGAAATGACTTATTCGAAGATCTGAGAGTGGACAGTATGGCTAGAGTCCCGGAGACAGAGGGGAACAAGGTATGAGCAAGGATCTGGTCAGAGAAGCCAATGGTCAAATCTGAGAATCAAGAAGATTCTTCTGGCTGCAGAATGGAGAATGATTTGGAGGATATGATAGTAGAGCAGGTGATTTGTATAAGTTATCTCCTATATCCCCTTCCTTCCTTTCTAACAGGTAGACAGATGTCTTTTTAACTCCTGCTTTAGGGAATTTCTGCAGCATAGAAAAGCAGAAAATGTTAGAAACTCCTCCACACTTTAAAGTGTTATATTCAAAGGCAAATAAATCTAGGTCACTCCAAGACAGAGGAGAGAAGGGAAGATTTTGAGGGCAAAGAGAAAGAGGAAGAGATGTGCATCTACTCCTTGGCACTTCCTGGGGAGCAGCAGAGCCTCAGAAGGGTACCTGGGAGGGACCGACAAAGGCTGGAACAGCCTCTGGGAAGACATGTGCCACTGGAGGCAATGTGTGGGCTGGAGTAACTGAGATTTCAAAGGCGACAGGCTGGGTCTGGGCTTGAAGACTGCAGTGTTTCCCTGATGACTTGACCTGTGACCTGGGGCACTGTGCACCTATCTCTGTGGGCAGAGGTGGGTTGCTGGAGTTCAAGCTTAGGTTGATTTAAAGAATATAAAGAATGTTACGTTGGGACACCTGGGTGGCTTGGCAGTTGGGTGTCTCCCTTCCATCCAGGGCGTGATCCTGGAGTCCTGGGATTAAGTCCCACATTGGGCTCCCTGCATGGAGCCTGCTTCTCCCTCTGCCTATGTTTCTGCCTCTCTCTCTCTGTGTGTGTCTTTCATGAATAAATAAATACAATCTTTTAAAAAATTGTGTCATGTTCTTGCATACCCCAATTGCACTTGCTAACTCATAGCCCTCAAAATTAATGAAGGAGACCATTGCAGTAGTAGTAGTAGCAGAGACAGGGGTGGTGGTAGAGACATGGTTTGGAAAAATGGACAAATTGAAGAGATATTATGATATGAAATGGACAGGACTTAGTGATGTTCTGGATATGGAAGAGAGGACAAAGCAGGGTTCAGGTTATCCTGAGATTTTGCATTTGTATAACTGAATAAATGGTGCCACCATTTATGGAGATAGGGAAATTTGACAAAGACCAATTTAGTAACAAGGGTCATAAATCTGGCTTTAAAGTGTTGAATTTGAGGTGTCTCTGAAATATGGGAGTAGAGATGTCAGGAAAGCAGTTGAACAAATGGGTCTTTACTGCAGAGGACAGATATAAATGCATGAGTCGTCTGTCTATTGCAGTAATTATACACCATGGTCGTGGATTAAGAGGTTGTCTGAGGAAATAGCATAGAGGAACAAAGAAAGTGGCTTAGGATTAAGTTTTCCTTAAGGGATCCTGACATTAAAGGGGCAGCCAAGGAAGTAGGAAGAAAACCAGGAGAGTGCTTCCACAGCAGAATTCAGCAGAAAGGGACCATGTAATTACAGATTAATAATTAGTATTAATAATATCAGATATTATTAATAGCCTGTATCATTAACAGACTTTATTTTTAAAATTTTTTTAAGATTTATTTATTTATTTATTCAGAGAGAGCGAAAGAGAGGCAGAGACACAGGCAGAGAGAGAAGCAGGCTCCATGCAGGGAGCCCGATGTGGGACTCAATCCCCGGTCTCCAGGATCACACCCCGGGCTGCAGGCGGCACTAAACTGCTGCACCACCGGTGCTGCCCCTATTTTTAAATTTTTTAAAGACTTACTTATTTATTTGAAAGAGAGAGAGAGAGAGAGCAGGGAGAGGGAGAAAATCCCTGGCAGACTCCTCACTGAGCTTGGAGCCCCACACAAGGCTTGATCCCAGGACCCCAAGATCATGACCTGAGCCAAAATCAAGAGTCAAGTGCTTAACCAACTGAGCCACCAGGTGCCCCTTTAACAGACTTTTTAAATCTTTAATACATTTAAAAGTACTTTTAGAATTCTCTCCCTCTCCCACCACAAACAATAACAAAAACAGTAATAAGTAAAAACAATTTTTAAAAATTCTCTCCTCCCAAAAGTGAAGCAGTAGAATGATTGGCTGCAGGGAGTGAAATGTTTTTTGTTTATTTAGTGCATGAGACTAGGAAGAAAGGTAACAGTGCTTCTTTGGCAAATTCAATTCAGTATTTATCTCTTTGGCTCCTACTTATACACCAGCCACTGTTGATGTTGGAAGCAACAAATTCAGTGTTTATGGAGATAACCTGTGAAATCAAGCCACCTCACAGAGAGGGGTGCCAGGAAGTAGATACCTCAGCTTTAAGAAAAGGTAATTATTGTGAGAGGAAGGGATATAATTTTTTTCAGATGCTTCAAAACCTCACAGTTCTTTTTTTTTAAAGATTTTATTTATTTATTCATTCATGAGAGACACAGAAAGAGAGGCAGAGACATAGGCAGAGAGAGAAGCAGGCTCCCTGCAGGAAGCCTGATGTGGGGCTCAATCCGGGACCCCAAGATCACGACCTGAGCTGAAGGCAGATGCTCAACCACTGAGCCACACAGGTGCACTAGAACTTCACAGTTCTAGTGTCTGAGGCCCTAGTAAGCCAGACTGTTCCAACCTCAGAAGTCAGTTCAAGCCTAGTTAAAGAAAAAAGCAGGTAATTATTCTCATCACAGTGAGCCCAGTTCTGCCATAAATGCTTTGCTATTCTGTGATTCATTCACTGGACCTGAAGAAACAAATTTTTCAACAGGCACTTAGAAAGATTAAACATATCATTTATAATGTAAGCAAATGCCATTCAATCCATTCGAGTTCACTCTTGTCAAAAAAGAGGGATGAAACAATTATCCAGATAATTCAACTCTTGAAGAGGACACTTGAGATCTGTGTTGATGCAGCTCAAATTCATGGAGGTACAGTTCTTCACCCCTACCCCTAATAGTTCCACTATGTCTGGTCTAGAAAGGCAAAAGCACCATTTTCCTGACTTTCAAATGATATTTCTAAAAACTGCATAATTTTGGCAAAAGCTGTATTTCATTTTCATGAAATATCACAGTGTAAACCATGAGTCTGATAAATAAAGGATTCCATTCCTATTTTCTATAAGGTTTTCTCTTCTATTCGGCCTAGTTTTGTGAATATTTTATGCAAGTAAAGACTGGCTATCTAAACTGCCAATCACATGAGTTTTGTATTTCTTCAACCAACTCTGGACCAACAGATTGAATAAATTTGAAATATCTCCAATAGGAAACAGGTAAGAAGTAATCTACATAATCCATTGATAAAATAGATCTATTTTGATGATTAGAATCCATATATACAACAAAGATAAGGAAGAAATATTAACGCATTAAATGATCAGAAGATCAGACATTTTGATTTCCATAGCTATAAAAGGACCTAGATGCGATGATACCAAAGTAGCCAAGAGCATACCTATCATCAGGATCTTGGTGTCTGTGGACCATTCTCAAATGCAATCAACCAAAATACCCTGATTAGTTGCTTATTTTGGTTTGGAGGAAGGAATAATATAATATGGGCCTGATAAAATCCTGTTTTATCAGAAAGCAAGAAATCATTTATTAAAGGCTAATGGTGTCTTACAAAAAGAAGCCAACGTCAAAGTGCTCTCACTGCCTGAGAATGTTCACCTAGAATAACCAAGACTAATACCATCCCGGCAAACTTGGCAGATTTTAAAGAAAAATAAAGTTCTGTATGCATCTAGAAAAAATGGAGTAATGACACAAGGAATTGAAAATTAGATTATTCATCTTTTTGAGAATAACACTTTTTCCTGAAGAAAATAGAATAATGTCTTTAAGATATTCAAGGAAAGAAAATCTGAATAACGAATTTAAGATATTCAAGGAAAGAAAATGTGAATGAAGGATTTTATATACAGCAAAACTGACAATCAGGTATATAAGGCATGTACCATTATCAGTATACAATACACAAGACCCAATACAATTTATGGGGAATACCATTCACTGAGCCCTTCTTAAAGAATCTACTGAAGAATGAGTTTCATACAACCAAAATAAACAGAGAGACATGAACATAAAGGTGGGTGGTGAACATCAAAAATTAGTGGAATCCAGAATGAAGGGGAGAGTGTAACATGTAGGAGCTCTATGTGCTGTCAGTGTAATTACGCAAAAATAAAAATGGGGAGATAGGAGAGAGATCGTATAAAAAATTAACTCTTTTCAAGTGACTGGCAACTAAATAGTTTTGTTTACCTTGACTTGGTAGAAAGGATCAAAAGTAAGCTTAGACAGATTTTTAAAGGAGCTATTGTTTACCGCTTCTCGATCAAGAGCATCCTGGAAATCTTTAAGTCGTCTTTCCTCATACTGTTTTTCTCGGAAAATTCTGTTTTGCCACAAAACTTCCTTTTCATGCCGAACATGCATGAGCTGCACAGAGATCCTGCGCTCCTGCTGGGACTGTCGCATCAGCCGATTAATCAGCTGCTCCTCCCGATACGCCTCCTGAAAACACCATTGGAGGAGCCAATTATTTGTCAAGGCCATGTCCAAATTTCCCATTGGGTTAAGAAGTTGATGCATAAATAATGTGCACAAGGCAAAGTATTCCTTGGTGTCAGCTTCTGTCATTTGATTTAAATTTGAACGTGGTAAAAATCTAGTTATAAAAATAAAGATTTCCAACAAAGGCTGTACCATTTTGGTATCTGGAAGCATTATATTTCGCAAGTCATGATTACTTTAAATAAATTGTTACTTTGTTTAAAATCCAATAAAAAATCAATTAGGTGACTGTTTCCAAGTTTTTATAAACAAAGGATGGGATTCTCAATTTAAGAGCATGTTTTCAGAAATTCGAAATTCCAGCAATAAATATTGGTTGTAAAAACAAATGCAGACGTCAGCTGAAGATGGCAGGTCTGCTAGTTGTCAGTGAAGATATTTCACTACCTATATGAGGACAAGCTATATTCTGATGGAATGGGAAGCTGGAAGAGAGTCTGAGGGGACATGGCCTATGGCTTCTCTCAGAAAATCTGACTGGTTGTAATCTGAAAGAGAAACTAGATGCATTTTCCTGACTCTCTTGTCTATTTTAATAGAATAGAAGGGCAATCAGTACATGAGCAGTGGTAAAAAGCATTAAATTGGGAATGAGAAGCCATTGTAGCTCCAGTTGTACCATTAATTGGCTTGTGTGGCTTCAGACAAGTAACTTGGACTTCAGGGCCTACTTCTTGACAGGTGAAATGAGGGGGTTATATGGAAAATGATCTCCAAAGCCCCTTCAAGCTCTTATTCTGTCTAAACAGAGACATCATGTGGAAGGAGGAGGTAATTAAAGTTCTCAAGGGGGAAGATATAAAAAAAAATGCTTAAATATTGGAGTTGTCCATTTAACACTCAACAATCAAATTGTTTAGTAAGAAAATCTAGCATCATTAATGACATTTTTTCAAATGATCTCTGCCATGATGAGATTATGGGAGAAATACTGTATATATTTTCAGAATCTGGATACAATGATAATAATGCTCTGTGGTAAATTCCAAAACTTGAACGTGAGAATTATATAAGAACACAGACGAATAAAACTTTGACTGAAAATAAATATGAATTTTTTGTTAGTAACATATATAAGATAAAAAAATAAAACCATGAACAACTTTGAAACATGTCTAATCTAATAATAAAATTCTGGAAACTTTCATTTTAATAATTTGTTTCCTTTTGAGATCCAGTAATCCTTTTAATTCTGAGGCAGAATTAAAAATAGCCACAAATCCTTCAGTTTTCTTCATCCAAATATTTGCAATGGTATCCTGCAGTTATTCTTATTAAAAAGTAAAATCTATTTCTCCATTCCCTAAATATGGGATATCCAGTAACCATTTGACTTGAATTGACCAATGTAACATTATCAAAACAAACTAAAAAACCCATACACGTATGGAATCTGATTTTCTTAATTCTCTTGTGAGTCTACCCCACCACTGCCACCACAATTTCTGGTCTGCTAGAAATTTCCCCATCTCAGGTGATGACCCTATAAAGCTATGGCTCTGACCTAAAACATTAGTGCTGTCTGAAATTCACTCCTCTCTTATTATTCCTAATATCCAGTTCTTGAAGAAGTAGTCTATTTTACCTCGTATGTATGCTTTTAAATCTCTCTACTCCATTCTATACCTATTGACATTGCCCCTACCTTGAACAATATCAGCCCCTCCTCTACAATGCCTTCCCCCAAGCTTCTCCAAAACCCATCCAAAAAAGCTCAAAGTGATCTTTCTAACCCGAAATCTCATCATTCTATTCATGTAATCACATTTTTTATGAATCACTAGGCAAGATAACAACTTGAGCATAGATCTCGGACTCGCTCTTCACAAGCTCAACTAAAACAGAGTATACAAACCTCAGGGAAAACGGCTACAACATGGAAACTAGAGAAGATATTTAGAGGCATTTTTGGTAGATGCAGTACAAATGGAGCCAAAATAAAAGCATCCAGGGCTGACATCAGATTCATGTCATGCTCTCAAAAAGCGGCAGGCACTTGAGAGAAGCACAAGAAATCCTAGCCCTGACAAATACCATTTTCTCTTTGGAAGAGAGAAGGATGGATAGGTAACAAGCCATGTTGCATGTGGGAATTTCATAATCCACCACTGTGACACAGGGGCATTTGTGTCAGCTGTGCAGGGAGGGTGGGGACCCTACACTTAATAAAAAGGAGGCAGGGGGAGTAGAGGTCCCTTGATGCATACCCCAGGCTGGTTGGAGGAATAGCAGCTTTCCCAAACACTGAAAAGAAACAGTTCCTTTGATGGAAATATCCAGAGCAATAACACACTTTAATGTCCTTTTACTTACTGGATCCCTGAACAAATGTCTGGTGAGAGACTTGAAAAACCAATGCTAATAGCATCCTGGTACAAAGTGAAGAAAGTCAGAAAGAATTCAGTCACCCCATTTCCAGGTAGTTATCAGGTCTAGATTATAAGCAAAACAATAGAAAGAAAAAAACCTAGCAGACAATACACAAGTGTTTTGTAACACAAATAGAAGTGTGTTCAAAATTCCATTGCTAGTTAATGAAACTTGAAATATGTAGATATTTTACAATCTACTTTTTTCATCTAATGTCTATAACCTGTAATTCTTCTAATTAAAAGATAGACTATGAAGTAAAAGTAAGGATACATGGCTGAATAAAGATATACACAAATCTAAAGTAAGAAATAACTTTTTAGCACAAAAAATGAGTTATTTTTTTGAGTTTTTCTCTAAGAAAGGAGTGAATCCATTGATAGTTTTGCTTCTTCATACTTATGTGAAGCCATCTTTCATATTTTAGACACGCAAATTTGTCCTATTTACATTCACATCTCATATCGCCTTCCTCCTCAAGACTGTTCTTCTGCAGCATCTTCCATATTCACAGTAAATGCCACTTCCATCCACCTAGCTGCCTAAGGGTGACATCTGGCCCCTCATTCCACTTTTCCACTGCCCTATATCTAATGAACCATTAATTCCTATTGGTTTTACTACTGAACTAGCTCCTAAAGCTACTTCTCTCCATTCCCATTGTCATACTACCCTAAATTTAAACTGGCATAATTTCTCACCTGAATTATAGCAATAGCTGCAATAGCTATTGCAGCTGCAATAGCTTATTTTGCCTTCCTGTCACTATTCTCACAACTAAAGCCAGAATGATCTTTCTAAAGTAAAGTCTGAACTTATCACTCTTGTTCCCCTTTGCACTCCGGATAAAAGCTCCAATTTCCCTCTATATTGCTGGCAAGGCTCATTATGATTTGGCCCCAGATGACTTTAGTTCACTCTGAGTGCTGAATCTTTCGATATGATATTCTCTCTGGAAACACACTTTACTTTTCACCATTCCAGCCTCTGCTGGAAACTAACCCCCACTCAGACCCCACCAAAACTACCCCTGTCTAGAATTAGCTGAGTTCTAATGCTTCCTAATATTTCTATTTATTATCCTCCAGAAACTATCTTTGGACTAAGTGAGGGCTGGATTTCCCTCTCAAGTGCTATCTGTCCCTACCATCATCTTCACTGCTCCTTCACACTCTACCCTAGTTTTTTATTTATAGATCTTCCCCAAACTGCAGTTTCTATGAGAAGATGTTTCTCAATATTCTTGTTCACTATGGTCTACAACAGTACCCAGAGCACAGAAGAGGCTCCATGAATATGTGTTCAATATAAGAGTTGATCAGTGATTGTCAAACTATAGCTACATCAAATTACCTAGAGGACCTGTTAACCTGTTAGCACAGATGACTGGGCCCCACCCCAGAGCTGTGATTTGAATTTGATTCAGTAGGTTTGAGGTGAGCTCCAATTATTTACATGACTGAAAATTTCCAGGTGATTCTGATGCTGCTGATCCAGGAATCACACTTTGAGAACCACTAGAGTAAACCAATTAACAAACTGAGAAGACTAACAATTTCTCCATATTGTTTTTATTTAAAGAAAAGTCCCTTTGGGATGCCTGGGTGGCTCAGTGGTTGAGCATCTGCCTTTGGCTTATGTCATGATCCTGGGGTCCTGGGATCGAGTCCTGCATCAGGCTCTTCACAGGGAGCTTGCTTCCCCTCTGCCTGTGTCTCTGTCTCTCTCTCTGCATCTCTCATGAATAATAAAATCTTTTAAAAAAAAAAGTTCCCTTTGTGATCATCTCAAAAGATGCAGAAAAAGCACCTGAAAAAAATTCAGTATCCTTGCATGATCAAAACTCAACAAATTAGGTGGAGAAAGAATGTAACCCAATATAATAAAAGCCATATATGATAAGCCCACAGTTGACATCATAATCAATGGTACAACTTGTCAGCATTCCTTTAAGATCTGGAATAAGACAAAGCTGCTCATTCTCACCATTTCTTTTCAACATAGTACCGGAAGTCTTTGCCAGACCATTAACAAGGAAAAGAATAAAGGGCATCCAAATCAGAAAGGAAGAAGTAAAATTGTCTCTGCATATGGTAAGATTTTATATACATGGTTGTACAGTCAATTGATCTTCAGCAAGAGTGCTAAGGCTACATAATGGGGAAAGGACAGTGGTACTGGAAAAATTGGTCTCTTCAACAAGTGGTGCTGGAAAAATTGGATGTCCACATGCAGAAGAATGAAAATGTATCCTTATCTCACATTGTATTCAAAAATCAACTCAAAATAGATTAAAGACTTACACATAAGGCCTAAAACTATAAAACTAGTAATAGAAAGTACAGAGGGGAAAAAAAGTTTCTTAATGTTAATCTAGACAATGATTTTTTTTCTTTTTAAAATGACTCCAAAAGTACAGGCAACAAAAGCAAACATACACAATTTAAAATTAACTAAAAATCTTTTATACAATAAAGGAAACCATCAACAGAGTGAAGAGGCAGCCTACAGAATGAGACAAAATATTTGCAAATGTACTTTTGGTTAATATCCAAAATATATAAGGAACTCAACTTCATAGCAAAAATCTAATAATCAAATTTAAAAATAGGCAAAGGACTTGAATAGACATTTCTCAAAAGAAGGCAAACAAATGGCCAATAGGAATATGAGAAGGTACTCATTGTCACTAATCACCAGGGAAATGCAAGTAGAAACCATAATAAGGTATCACTTCACATCTATTAAAATATTTATCACATTAAAAAAATACAAGAAATAACAAGTGCTGGCAAGGATGTGGAGAAAATGAAACCCTTGAAAACTGTTGCTGGACATGTAAACTTCTAGGGGTCCAGCCTCTATGTAAAACAATATGGTGGTTCCTCAAAAAACCATGAGTAGAACTACCATATGACTCAGCAGTTCTACTTCTGGGTATATATCCAAAGGAAATTAAATCAGTATCTCAAAGAGATGTCTGCATCCCCATGTTCAATGCAGCATTATTCACAATATGGAAAAACCTAAGTGTCCCTTGATTGATAAATGGATAAAGAATGTGTAGAATATACACACAATGGCATATTAGCATTAAAAAAGAAATTCTGCTACTTGTGACAACACAGATGAACCTGGATGACACTATGCTAAGTGAAGTAAGTCAGATGTAGAAAGATAAATTTTGCATAATCCCACTTATATATCAATCTAAAAGAGTTGAACTTATAAAACTAGGTCTTAAGTGTTCTCAGCAAACACACAAAAAAGTAACTATGTGAGGTGATGGATGTGTCAATTAGTTCCAATGTGGCAGTCATTTCACAATGTATACACATACCAAAACATCACATTGTTCACATTAAGTATATACAATTTTTGTCAATTATACCTCAAAAGAACTGGGAAAAGTTTCCTCTTACCTTCAAAAGTAACAATAGATACACATGGTTGACGTGGATTTTAGGTTTCTCCCAGGGTTTTTTTTATCATGGGAAAATATACATGACATAAAATTTACCATCTCAACCATTTTAAGGGTATCATTCGGTGGTATTAAGTGCATTCACAATGTAGTATAACCATCATCAGATTTTAGATTCTTTGGTAAATGTTTTATGTAGATTTTTTTCCTGACTCTATCTGCTGTGATGATAGGTTGACAGTTGATTCAGGTAACAGATAATAAAGAAGATACATATATGTATCTTTAGTATAAAAGACTAAATTTTGCAAATTTTCCAGTACTATTATCCAATCAATATCTAAATATTTTACCTCTTGTGCTTCGTGGGCTATTAACTGGTCCATTAATAGTCTCCGCCGTCTTTTCTCCCTTTGCTCTCGTGCAAAAGCATCTTCTTCAAGGCGCTTTTGGATTTTTTTAATGTAGTCATCATCCGAATAAGTGTTTAACAAATCAGTAGTTGTCTGGCCAGCTGTATCTAAAGAAGTCTTGGAGGCACTAAGGACAATAGTTTTTACTTAGATTTAAAAAAAAACAATGCAATGACATGCCACTACTTGTGACTATGGAGGAAGACCTCAGGAAAAGGCTCCTTTTAATGCTCTGCTAATTTATTAATACAAGCATTAAAGCAAATATTAGAACTTCATTGTGACATCCACAGCTTATCATTAGATTCCATTTGCTGCATTTTGGGACTCTACATGGGAGGTCAATAGCAGAGCCTTCTTTCTAAGCCTATTGCCTACTTGTTCTTTCACTTCTCGTGATCTTCACTGTGCCCAGAGATCTGGGTTTCTCTCTCTCTCTCTTTTGCCAGCTGGCTCTAGGCCTCTTGCCTCCCCTGTTTTGAGTCAAGAGTAGGCACATGATTAATAACCAAAGTGCCAGGGAAGGCATACCTCTAGTCCTAATGTCAGGACACCGAGTACTTCCATGGATGGTTCCTCCAGTACAACCCACCTCTCCCTTATGCAAATGCAAGTTGCTGTATCAACTCCCAATAACCCCCAGAATGCTTAAAGCAGTGGCCCAATTCTTACTGGAAGCTTGGCAGCTAAAAATGACTTGCTCATCATGCCACACTGGCAAGTATAAAACTGACCTAGCCTCTTGCCCAAGTCCTAGAGATCCAAGTAAGAGGCTTACTTCCATTCCTGTCCTACCTTATGTCCAAAATTAAAGGGTAAGGAAGAGCTGGTGGTCTTACCAACAGAAAGCAAACATTCATTTTAGTGGGACAATGGTGGTTTAGTACAAGAATTTATAGCTTCATTCAAAAGTTATCTTTAGAATCAAAAGATACATTTTAATGTATGTAAGGATCAAATAATCAATTCTCATCTGCATACCCCTTTACAAAATAAACAGAATACAATAGTATAATGGTACAAGACATATCTCGTTACCTGCCAATAAAAAGTTTTAATATTTTAAATAATTATTTTTAATGTTATTAGTTATTAATGTAGTCAGTTTAAAATACAACTTACTGTGTTATTCAAAAGACAAGGACCCCTTAATAAGGATACATACCTTAATATGGTATGTAGGAACTAAATAGTCATCAATTCCTATACAGATAGTATTCTCATAAACTCATAGTTAATTCATGTTTAACGAAGTAACAGTTGCATGTCTACAGTGATCATATTGCATTATAGATCATTTTTTGTACATTTGCTGCTCCCAGATGAGCTCTGAGCTCGTAAGAAAAGTATCCTATCCTCTCTGTCCTGGTGGCCTCATAGTCCTGACATGCAGCTGATGTTTGCTCAATTTCATATGACATGCTAAGAAGCATGATATAGAGTAATTCTTAAAAACAGCACACACTGAAATTCTGGTTATCAGCAGGAGCTCAACCTTCAGTTGTATCCTGTCACTAAGAATCTTTGAGCAGAAATTGTGTGTAGGATCTAATACAGAGCTTAACCTCTTTATTAAGAATTAGTACAATTAAGTACTTAGGAAAATTATGTGGCATAACTTTTTAGATCATTCTTTAAAATTCTTATGTTTTTACTCAAATGTGTTGTTCAGCTTTGGATTGTACATGACTTACTACACTTAACATGTTGCTTCTCCTTTATTTATCAGCCTATTCTCCACCCATCCGTCTGCTCTCATTCCAATTAAGGACTGAAGAAAGATACATGATATTTTTTTGAATAAATATTGTTTTCCTAGATGTGGGTTTCTTGCGGGTAATAATTATATTTTCTCTATATCTGCTTGTCAGCCTCTGCAGAGTTAATAATTGGGTGTATATGAATTACTAGTAATTGAAACCTTGGCCGAATTTGTGTATATTTAAAAATAATTGCCAGGAAGAGTCTAAAGTAAATCTATGAATTCGAGGGTCAAATTAAATCAGCCAACAAACTCAGTTTTTTGTTTTTTGTTTTTTTTAAGTAGCAGACAGCATTTATTATTTGTGTTACAAAATAAAGACAGTGTATATATGGGGGAAAAGCAGCCATGGGAGCTCTTGGCATTGCTCTTACTGAGACATTTTGTTCTTCCACAAAAGAAAAAAAGATGGACTTTGAGGTAACATACCTGAAGAACTGTTTCAGGAGCAGGCTGTGAAAGCAGCAGCTGCAGAAATTGCTCGTTATGGTCAACTTATAAGATTTTAGTGCTTTCTGGTATCAGGTAGTGTGAAGCTTTTGAAAGAGCCCAGAATCAATTCTAAGCTAAAAATTCAGAATGAACTAATGCAGTATTTAATAAAAAGAGGCTTAACAAAGGCCATACTGTACCATAGCTTTTGTTTTCTTTAATAGTTTTCTCCAGACCAGTGCTTCCCAACATCCTTTATTTGGGGCCACCGAGAATATGCCTTCTGTGCAGCATACCAGGAGGGATTTGGAGTCTCAGATGAAGCTGCGCAATCCTGGGTGACTGGCCCAGGGAGACTAGCTGCCCCAAGCCCTGCCCTGCTGCTCTGAGAATCGAAGTAAGGATGTCTATATTTCATGGCCTCCCAGTGTTAGATCTATGGCAGGATCAAGTGGAGGCTTCTACAGAGAAAGGACCTGGGATAGACATGACTCTTTCTTTCCCTTTTTCCTCAAAACACAGCCCCAGTTTTATTCAGGAAAAAAAAAATGTACCCAGTTAAATACTACATTTTTTAGCCTCCCATTCTGTTAGATGTGACCAACGTGACTGAATTCTGGCCAACAAAACATAAGCACAAATGTTACCTGGGACTTCTGGAAAGGTTCTTAAAAGGAGCTATTTCAGAAAATTACTTTTTGCCTATCCTCCTTCTTTATATCTAGAATATGGGCCAAATGGCCAGAGCTCCAGGAGTCATCTCATATGTATTGTGAATGTGGATTTGAGGACAAAAACCACACAACAGGACAGCTGAGCTATAGAAAAGCCTCAGGCCTCCATGCCTTTGGAGCTCTAACACAAGCCCTGAGCTGCTTACATTCTGGTTTCTATTAATGAGAGAGAAGTAAAAATGCATCTAATTTAACCCACTCTTGTTTGGGGTTTCTGAAGCTAACTGATAGACCTAGGTTCAGGATAGGATGGGTTGGCAATAACAAAAACAGTGAGCAGAGTGAATGTTTGTAGCTGCATTGTACAAGGATGATCTTCAAAATATTTATTAATTGACATGGCAAGGACACTAATCAATCAAAATGGGTGCTGGTGAAGGAAGTAGAAGACACTGCTGTGTTTGGTGCTAATTCTGTTGTTAAATTGTGTGGAAATTGAGGGGCCCCAGGAAAGGGGCCAGCCCTAGAGCTATAGAGAATACCATTCACCTGCAAATAACAAAAGTATTTCAGCATTTTAAGATGGTTTATATACCATCTATTTATCACTCCAGAGCATGTGGCTGATGAGGTGAGTAAACGAGGAAGAAATCCAGTGGTTTCATGGGCCAGTCCAGGGGAGGGTGGTGGGGTTGGGGTAGTGGCTACATGAATGGGTAGGCTTGGATTGTGTTTTCTTTAGTCAAGGGTGGCACAGATAAATGGCAGTAGGAATCAGAGTAGGGCATCCAGAGTTTCTGCAGAGGGCAGAAGAAAAGGTACTCTCCATTTTGCTTTATTTTCCTTCCAGACCTGATTTCCTCACCACCTCTTCTTCTTTTTTCTTATTCCTCCTCATTTGAATCTGTCTCTTTCCCTCAGAAATATTAATATGGAACCGATTTATGTGATTTATGTCTGTTTTTCTTCTCCAAATTTAAGAATCCGGAAAGTTTCCATTTAAAAATGTGAAAGAACTCAAGTTGCTCCCACCTATGCAGACCCTAATCAATTATCTTCTGTGACTCAACGACCCCTAATAGGAAAGAAAAGGGGAGAGGATCTTTATCTTTAGGCAAATGAAGCCCATTAACCGGGCAGTTTTTGTGATAAACTCCCCGAATTGACCATCTCAGTGACGGTTAAACTCATTTGGCAACTTTTTATTGCTGCTACCTATGCTAAATGCTGAGCGTGCAACATGAAAGAAACCAAAGAGTGTCTAATAAAGGCTTTATGAAAAATTTAAATTAGTGGAAACTTGAAACAATTTTCATAAATGCTTAAAAAGCGTGTGAACTTAGGACAGTAAGCATAGCATAGAAAAATACTGCCCATCTCATGATAGCCATTTCCCTCCTAATCTTTACAAAAGTTAATGAACAATTCATCTGAATTTTAGCTCATTTACCTTCCTTTGTATACTCTCTTAATGAAGCTTCTACAAAGTAAAAAGATCCATGAAACAGCTATTCGCCGTAAACTATTTCTAAGTATTTAAAACTTACAGGTAGAACAGAATGCAGTTCTGTGCTTGTTAAAGTGATTCACATCTCACCTTTCTTTGGCCTGGAGATCCTTTTTTATTAAAGCTTCAAACTTCTTAATCTCATTGGCCACATCCTTTAAAGAAAATTCATGATCAGTTTTCCACTTTTAAAAACCATTGAAAATCTTAATTTACTATATTCACTTCACAAGTTTATAAGGCGGTATGCACTACTAATTGAGTCTGATTAGGAGGCATGATATAAAAAGCTGCATTCCAGAATATTTTTATAATTCTGAATCATTATTTTTAGACGAGGCTAAATATACCTAAAAGAGTGTGAAAGCTGACTCACCTGAATCATTCCATTCACAGTCTAGTTCTGACAGTGCAACAAAGGCCACTTACTGATAATGAAGATTATCAAAGAGTCAGGCCATGGATTTTTATTTGCAATTCTTTTAAACAAGAATAAATATTTTTGGGGGGATATAAATACTTCTTCAAAAATTGTTGCCTCAGATGTTTAAACATTTCTTGTGCAACCTTATTTATGCTATTAATTTGCTCTCAGGAGATTAGTTCAGCTCATCCTTTGTCTACTGCAAATCCTTATTAATAAACTTTAATCACCTCAGAGAAATAGAAGAATTAAATACTTTTCTAAAATTCGGGTCTGAAAACCTCTATGGGTGAGTATTCTTTAAATTTCAAGTACAGGATATTTTTTAAATATTAAACATAAAATGCAATGGATTTGGATATCAGAGAGGACTATCAATCTCTGCTTTACTATCCTGTGGACCACATTGAAACAGGGTGGCTTTCTGAGTCTCCGTTTTCTTATTTAGAAATTGGGGGAATAATATCCTACTTGGAGAGTTACTTACAAATGAAAGATAATGGAAAGTGGTCAACCCACAGGCTGACATAGCAGATGCTCAATAAGTGGTAGCTATTATGCTTTTCCTTAGGTCACAGGAGAAAATATCGTTAATAATCACTGTAGCAGTATGCAGTGTAGACTGCAGCAATTAGTAACAAATGTACTATTGCTCCCCTGTGAAATATAAGCAGATGGTATCCTACTGGAATGACCAGCAGCTGGTATGATCTAGTAAAATATCACTAGTGTAAGTTATCTTAAATTTATTTATTTTAAAATATTTTATTTATTTCGTCACAAGAGACACACACAGAGAGAGAGAGAGGCAGACATAGGCAGAGGGAGAAGCAGGCTCCATCCAGGGAACCCGACGTGGGATTTGATCCCGGGTCTCCAGGATCAGGCCCTGGGCCAAAGGCAGCGCTAAACCGCTGAGCCACCTGGGCTGCCCGGTTATCTTAAATTTAAATACACTGACAGCAAGCAAGCCACTTAACATTTCTGGTACTCAGAGAAAAATGATGCAGCATAGTGGGAAAGAATTGAGTGAAACATATAGTAGGAATGGCATATATATGGTATCTGTACCTTGATTGACATCTCTCTACCCATGGTGATTAACGACCCATCACAGCAGCACCATTCTAGAATATTTTTGTAGTGATCACAGAATCCTTCTCAAACAGGGGTCCAGATTGGTACTGTCATTTAACATGAGTTTCTTATCCCTGACCTATAGCTACATTCTCTCATTCTGAACAAATAAGAGGATAATATGGATTAGATACGCACCCAGTGGAGGGGTTTTGAATGAAAAGGAGCAAGGCCACAGATAATCTGAAAAGGGAACTAAGAAGTTGGGGGTATTTTCTATGTTTTAGAGAAAGATCATTCTTTCATTAAGATTAACACAACACCAAATTAAAGGATTATCACTTACCTCTGCCTCTTTTTTCTTTTTCATCATTTTTTGGGCCTCCAGTGCTCTCAAAGTACGATTTGATGCAGGTTTAGGAATCTGTATGATAGCTGCTTGGATTTTGGCCATTATTTCATTTTGTCGTCTCCTGCTCAGGCGTTGCTGAATATCCCATAGACATAGTTATTCCACTCATCAGAATAACAGCCTATGTTACACACTCACAGGTACATATCTATACATTTTTCAGAACTCATTGATTTTCCAATGGACTAGGTGTCACAACTGTGTAGTGTTAGGAAGCAGGTGTCAATATGACTCATTTTGAAAAGTCAGATATTAAAACACAATTTTGGAATCCTCAAATTATGCCTACCAGATGTGTGTAACTTCATTCTAGATGATGACACTAAAAGGATAATAACGACACTTCAAATACAAAGAATATAATTCTTTCCCAATTCTACCCTCATGACCTGCCCAATAATGGAAAGAGAAAATGCTGTCTCCAACAATGGTCTGAAGAGAAAATTCCATCTAGGAGATGGTCTCTAGGAGGACTTCTGGGGAATCCAGGAGAAATGACAAAACTTTCCCAAAACTCAGTCACACTGAAACAATGAGCTCAGAGGCTACGTCAAATTCAAATACTGAGTTAATTATTGAATTATGTGATACTACCATTACTGGGTCATCTCTTCTCTACCTGGGAGTAATTATTTTAGGTAGAATATTAGAAGGAGGGTACAAGTGAAGAAAAAATAGAGAAAATAAGACAAAATATTTTTTAAATGGATGGTTTAAGAAGTAACATGTAAAACTAATCATGACTTTGCTACTAAAGCATATTAGAACTAATAAGATTAGTTTCTATATCTAAAAATCTTTAACCACTAAAAAGTAAAAAATTATCAATTTAAATTTTTCTTCATTTTACTTTCCAAAATATGAATTCTTATGTAGTTGCAATATGTTGATCTTTTCCTCTTAAGAATATCAGGAAGACATGTCCTCTTGTCCTATTCGCTCCCTACCATTTTTTTTTTTTAAGTGGGACAGAGTACAAGCGGGGGTGAGAGGAGGGAAGGGAAGAGAAGCAGAGAGAGAGGGAGAGAATCTTAAGCATGTTGCACACCCAGTGTGGAGCCCCTCATGGGGCTCAATCTCATGACCCTGAGATCATGACCTGAGCTGAAATCAAGAGTCAGGCACTTAACCAACAGAATCACCCAGGCTCCCCTATTTCCTATCATTTTTAGCATAATATATTTCAGAACATATAATGGTTTCTTATTTCCTTTTTCCCAACTTTCCTTGAAGACTTTCTGCATTACACTTGGCACGTCAAAGTCGGACAGACTGGTTTCTTAAAAAGTAGAGTCCCAGCACTTGGCCTTGACCTAAACACTACTTTAAGAGTGCCTTGTCTTCTTACCATGCAGTGCGAATGGGGAAGCCCAGGGCTTTATCTACTCTCTGGCAAGTAATGAGATCTTCCATGAGATCTTCCAGAGTTTGTCTCTCATCTTTCCCTTCCTCTGCACAGGGGGATGACTACATTCAGGATATGTTTATTTCTTATTATTCTAAATATATTAATTTAAAAGGTGATTTATAGTGCAAAGAGAAGAAATATAATTCTTTTTTGCCTGTAGTTTACACATTCCATATATATAGTCCCTTGAAATTCTCTAAAAATATTTAGTGATTTCCATGCACCATCATGTTCTTGTGTATTTAAAGGCATAGGAGATCATTAAAGATTTTCAGAGAAATTTGAGGAGCAGTGGAGAGTTAGACCAAGAAGGGCCAGAAAGAAGGCAAGAGATTTTTAAGGGGCTTGGAGAGGGAAGCAAGAAGAAAATCACCCCACATTGCCAGGATGAGAAAAATGAGGCAGGGCAGGAAGACCAAGGGATTGCAAAAGAGGGAACAGGGAGGTGGAATGCCCGCCTTACATCCCTTAGCAGAGACAGCAGTTGCAAGCCTTCACTAGAGTAGTTAGTAGCAACCTCCGATTACTGAAGCATCTCAAGCATTCATTTCTACCAGACAACTTAAAAAGAGATCAAGTTGTCCTGCCACTCCAAGAATGGTAGTTCTTGTTCTTGGTCACAAGGAGAGGTAACAGCAGGAGTGGGACGGAAAAAAGGGAAGAGTGAAGGAGAGAAAGGTGGAGCATGAGTCAAAGGAACATGCAACTTGCACTACATTAATGCTTATGCAATGTGTACTAGAGGCATAAATCGTAAACAGTATACACTATGCACTAATGAGTGTCTGGAAAAAAATCGTACTGTAAACCTTTTCAAATTAAAACATCTTTGTTCTTCCTTGAGTTTTTGAAATTTTTCAAGTTTCTCAAAATGCATGTGGACAAGATCTTCTTTCATGTGTTTATATTTTTCTTGAAACCTGTGTGTGACCCGCATCAGACTGAAATCAGTTTGACGTGGTATCAGGTTTCTAAGTCTCTAAATGGAGAAAGCATTTCAAAAGATTTCATTATTAGAATATAAAAATTATATTGTCATTAAAAGCACACATAAAATTTGTCTTCAAAATAAAATTTTTATGAATTATCATTGATGATTAAAATAAATTCAAGCCTCATGCTAATCACTCATATCTTTAATTCACACAAAAACAATAAAAACATGAGTTGAGTCCTTTCTTATAAAATATTTTCACATACATTTTCATATTTTTTGTCCAGAGTTTAATTTTTTAATGAATAGTGTTTGAATTCTTAGAGAAGTACATTTTCATAAAAATAATTTCAAAAAAATGTTCTTCAACATGTAAGAGATAATATAAGAGGGAAGTTCTATTACTTAAGCTGCTTCCTAGTAAGAAGTGAAGAACCATTAAACCTTCAGGCCACTGGAAATGAGAATCTAACAGCATAAGAAAATGAACCTCAAATATGATTATAAAATGAGGCACAGAGCAATATGGCTGATGTATTTAACTAAGACTTTTATATCCAAAAGTAATTTCCTCGAAATCTAAAGACTTACGAAATTGGTGTTTTTTTTTTTTTTTGTTTTTTTTTTTTCAGATGGAACTGTTATTCAAACCATTTTTGGTCCTACTCTTCTAAAATAGCCTCAGCAGATCCTGGCACTTTTGCAGATCATTTCAGGACCTTTCAGCAGATGTTCCTCACCTTCCTGCTCTTCTCAACATTAAAAATGGCCTGGCCTCCATCCTCAGAGAGGCAACAAAAATATAAAGTTCTTGAACATCCTACTTTCCTACTCTAATATGTATCTGTATCTTCAGCTTAATTATTATCCTCCCCCCAACCTAGGAAACAGCCACTGAGATAGAATACAGCTTACAGTTAACTGTGTGGCTTTTAGAGTCACGCTGCCTAGGTTTGCTGCAGCTTTACCCCTGACTAGCTTCATTAAGTTGGGCAAGTTACTTAACCCTCTGCACCTTAGTTTCATCATCTGTAAAGTGGGAATAAGAAAAGCACCTATCTCATAAGGCTGCTGTGAAGATCAAAGTAGACAATGTATACACACTACCTGGAACAGGGCTTTGCACCTCACTAATGTATGACCGATAAATTTTAGTCATCATTAATATTATTATGTAAGACACCTGCATTTTCCTCCATCTGATAGCAAAGAAAAAGACATATCTAGTTCTTCCCTAAGATACCTCCTCCTCCACCTAAACCATCAGTTGCATCCTCCTTTCTTCCCTAGAGGACTTGGTTTCACTTGGTTCTCACACCAGTCATCTGCTGCCATTGATTCTTATTCTCATCCTGCCAGTTTCCTCTATGTCCATAAAGGAAACAAATAACCTCACATTTCTCATGAGCTTCTCTTCTGCAGCCACTGTTTTTCTCTTCTTCCTTCCCTTCCCTTCCCTTCCCTTCCCTTCCTTCCTTCCCTTCCCTTCTCTTCTCTTCTCCCTCCACATTTCTTGAATGAATAGTCTAAGCCCAAGTCTGCTTCATTTCAAGTTACTCTGCAACTCACCACATTCCATGCTACCCCACTGAAATATTTTTCTCTCCTGAAAATGGGGAGTTGGGATTTTTCTTGTGTTGATCATTGTGTGATTGCCTGGCATAAAATAGGAGCCCAGTCAATATTTAATCAACGAATGAATGACTGACTCTGGAAGGTCACCAGGGCCAACATTAAACACAATGGTTTCTGGCTGGTCTCAACTACACAGCACTTGTGCCTTTACAAAGAATTTTTTTGTATATTGCTTCCTTAAAACTAAAAAAAAAAATAAAAAATAAAATAAATAAAATAAATAAAAAAAATAAAAAAGCCAAACTCTGAGGCAGGTAGAGATAACCAATCTTGTTTTAACAGCCGGGGAAACAGAGACTGAGAGTGTTTCAGGGATTGGCCCAGAGTTACTCCACTTGCAAGTGAAAGAGGCAGAATGCAATACCAAGTTCTTCTGTGGTAAATCTAATCTCATTTCCAGCTTTGCATGGTGCTGGGCTCAATCTGCTACCAGATGTCGTAGGGACATCTGCTAAGAACAGATAAATCTGAAAGTCGAGATGGCCCTCACATCCATTATGTCATCATATCTTCAGAAATTCAACTTAAACATTCAATTATTTCCTTTTCTATTTAACGCATTGGATCAGTGAGGCACTCCCCATTATCCTAGAGGCCTGGAAAACTAATGTACTTCACTTGCTATAAGGAAATAGCACAGGAGCTGGAGATAATTGTCAACTAAGAAGTAGTATCAATTAATGAAAACACACTTAATGAGTATTTGCAATGTTCAAAACATTGTACCAGGCATATTCCTTGAATTTGAGAAACTAAAAAACTTGTGAGGCCATATGACAGATAAATCGTGAAAGTTGACCAACACTATCAGCAGCAGGAGGTTAATACCAGAGAGCAAGAATCGCCCGGGCCCTAGGAATCCCACAGGAAGAATCCATGTGTGCTGGCAAGGTTGTACACCAGTGGAGGGAGAAACATTTGCAGGAAGAGGAGAGAGGCGAAGTGTGAGATTGGGTGAAAGGGATGGAAGAGTGGAAATATACAAGAGCTATTCAAGGACAGGCTGCTGACCAATGTAGAAAAAACAAAGACTTCATGATGAGGACCATGAAGAAATACAGAAAGACCATTGAATGAAAGATCTTGAATATCACTCCAGGTTGGAGACAGGATACACATAAAATGGAAGTTTTCTGAGCAAAAGAACCCAGTGCAAGTGGAATTTAGGAAAGATTCATCTAGCAGTCGATTGGCCTCTGGCAGAAAGCCGGAAGACCAGGAGACATGTTAGTAGGCTGCTACAGTCATTCTTGCAGGCAGCTGAGCAGATGTGACAGGAGCAGAAATGAAGAGAGGAGCAAGGCATTAGGAACAAACAGAGTTTGATATACTATTGGCGATGTGTATTAGATGGAGTGAGACATCAAAAATGGATCAATGAATTGAAAATATTAATAAAAAAACAAAATCCAGATTTGGTCAATTACATCCATAAGACACGTAGACACCCAATGGGACTTCTTTGTGAAGGCAATGTCACTGTCATTTTTCTCTCCTGAGTTTTATACTGTGTTATATTTCTGTTTCTTTGCATACTTACATCTCGAAAAGCCTCACTTTTCATACTTTGGTATCTGACGTTTGCCAGGGGTTGCATAGTTTGCATTTCTATTCCAGTCAGTCCACTTTTCTTCTTTTTCTGAAGAACAATGTACAACTGATACAAGAGTTTGGTTGCTGCCCCAGGCTTTTCCGTTATGATGTTGTGGGCCACATTCTGATCAAACTGCACACCCAGAAGGTGAAGTGTCGGCTCCAAGCGAGAAAAATTATTAAGCTTGGCATTTGAAACTCTAGGCATTAAAATAGTTGACAAAGTTAGACACTGGTGTTGAATTAAAAACAACAAATATCAGAGGTATTATCATGATCAAATATTATGAGTTATCCCACGTTCTTTTCAAAATACCATGCCTCCCTAAAGCCACTCGGTCATGTAAATATAGTAAGATTTTCTACTGTCCTGAACACCATAAGTTTATTTCTCTTCAAAGGTGAAACTAAAACTCATTTTATACACTTTTGTGCTTAAATATACTTTTTTCTGCTTGTAGAATTTTTACAAGAGGTCAATACAAAAACAGATACCTACGTATCTTCTACAAAATGGGAAAACAACTATGGTTTTGAAAAATACTTTACTCAGAAGGCAAAATTGTAATTTAAATTTCCATTTCTTTAAATGATATTATACTGGAGTCAAAACATAGCCCTAAATATTGCATTGATGACTTTAACAACAATCCTCTCAGGCACTGTCAGAAATATTTAATTAAATAATATAAGCATGCAATCACACTGATTATATAATCTTCACTTTAAAGTTTAAGAATCAGTAAAGACTTTCTAATTTTAAGTTATTTTTGAGTCACTATGAAATGTTAATGTTTATTAAAGTCTTACAAAAATGAATAGGATGTAGTCCCTGGCCCTGAGAGTTTCACTATGGGGTGAGGGGGGACAAATGAGTAAATAATAAGTGATAAATTGATAAATGATAAATTGATAAATTGGCCACTCTGAATCCAGTGGCCAGGAAGGCAAAAGAGATATTGGATGCATTTTCAATTCTTGTGCCTCTCTGTGTTCCAACTAGAAGTAAATATCAATTTTAACCCTTAGCCTATTTCCTCCTTACTTTAACTTCCTTTCCTAACGTGCAGTGACAATTTTCATGGAAAAAATATACTGAATATACTCAGATATAAGTGAAAGTCCCACCCTTCTCCCCCACAAAAAAATAATAGCTTAGAAAAGAAGGGGGTTGGCACATACTGGGTAGAATTTCTGTTCATAGGATTATTCACTCGGTAACTTCATTTTGAACTATAAAATTATTTGGGTGAGATACAATGATATTCATGACCTCAGTTAAATTTTATAAGTTTGCAGAGGCTGCTTAACACTTAAACTTTATATACTACTGCTAATATACTGTTTCTCAAGGGATTGTGTTTTGTTTTTTGTTTTGTATCACAGATACTGCTGTGGAACACCATGGAACCTGTACCACAGGAAAGAAAACACACTCGTGCACATACACAAAATGTGTATGCCATTTTTAGATGCTTGTGAGCCTCCTAAAATCTAGCCTAAAAGTGCCCATGTTCTGCAAATTAAAAACCCATGGTACAAAAGGAGGTGGGGCTGAAGGACTACATGAATAATTTCGAAATATGAATAAGGAGTCAATATCACAGGAAGGCCAATGTCAACAAAAATAGTGACACAACAACTTGAATTCCTCTTCCAGTTAACTGGTGTAACTTACTATCCTATTTCCTCTGTTTAATATTATTGTTTTAACAGAAATATCTGGTAAAGTATACTTGGCATATCAAACTACATCAACAAACTTTGAATAAAATATTTTAAATTAATAAAAGAGAAACAGGTTTCAGAGGGGATGAGAAGAAATAATAAATGCTACAGGAAAGCTCACAATAAAAGTAAACATTTCTTTTAGGTCTTCTTATGTCCAGGTTTGTAGTTTGCTTCCTCACAAGTGCCCTTACAGTTTGACATAACACATATCTGCCTAAAATGATAAGAGTAATGCTGACCGTGTTTGAAAAGTATGGTTGTAAAGGGCCAATTAGATCAGTGACTTGTGCCTGCCTTCCCTGAACAGGCACCTGACACTCCCTCTTGCTCTTCCAACACAGTTATTCTTTCACGCCCTCCCTATCCACAAAGTCCCGAGTCTTGCCCATCACACATGTTTGAAAAGATGGCCAGAGAGTCACTTGTCAGAGCTTTGGCATTGGTCATAACCTTGGGCTACAGAGATTAAGGGCATCAAAATTCTGGAGGGAAAATCCAAAAGAAAACACTATCCATTTCCAAATTTTATCAGAACATAGCCCTGCACCCGATAAAAATGGAGACCACTTCCTCTCGTCTCGTTTTACATCGCCCTATGAATGCAGTGTAAACCTGTTAGTATGAAGGAACAGTCACACATTTAGGGTTTAAAATGGTTCTTATGAACTGGTTGAAGTACCAGGTATAACAGTACTTCTCTCTGGAGGTTTTTAATATACACAGTCCAGATTTCCAAGCAATCAAAATTGTTAGAACATAATTGGCATGTAAATTGGTGGAAGTCCACTCTTGTTACAGCATGTGCTTGATCAGTATAGCATGATAATCAACAGTTGTTTTTGTAACAGAAAAACCATGAAGACATCCTTGCTCTGGAGACAGAGTATATGGTGTAAATGATGACCTCTGAGGGAATAAGGAACGCATTCTGGAAAGAGTCTTCTTTTTATGTGCAGTGTTTGTTTTTAGCATTTGATGACTCATTTTTCTTATAGTAAATTCCCAGATTTTGTGTGTAATGTTGCATAGAGGGTAGTGAGTGGGCATGGGGAGAGGAAGGAGGTTATCTTTTTTTTTGCTTTTCTTTGTTGACTGGACAAAAACATGCCACTGGTAATTAAAGCATGGAAGGGTTTTCCCTTTCATAAAAGGTGGAAGGATAATAATCAAGAACAAAATCTCTTTTGAGGCAAATCTGATCTACAGTATTATTTTTCTCATGTACAAGCAATGCTATCTGTCGCACATAACATAAAAAGCAAATTAATAAGTTCATGGCAATTCATGTGACATGTTTGTTCATGATGATTTTATTTTATTTATTTTTTTAAACTCTCTTTTTTTATTTTTTTACGATAGTCATACAGAGAGAGAGAGAAAGAGAGAGAGAGAGAGAGGCAGAGACACAGGCAGAGGAAGAAGCAGGCTCCATGCACCGGGAGCCTGACGTGGGATTCGATCCTGGGTCTCCAGGATCGCGCCCTGGGCCAAAGGCAGGCGCCAAACCGCTGCGCCACCCAGGGATCCCTCATGATGATTTTAGCATTCTATTTATTGGTTTAGGAGATGAAACTTTTGTGTCTCATATTTTGGTTGCCATGATTCTTAGCTTAGCTGATTAGTTTTTATTTTTTTGTTTATTCCTGTTCTAGGACGCAGAGGAAAAATCATATTTTTTTGTGATTTCTCTAAGTTATAAAACATTCTTAGGATTATTTTATATTATTTTTAGATTTATTTATTTATTGGAGGGGGGGAGAGAGTGAGCATGGCAGGCGAGGGGCAGAGGGAGAGACAGAGACAGAGAGAGACAGAGAGAGAAACAGAATCCCAAGCAGCCTCCCCACTGAGCACAGAGCCCAATGCGTGGTTGGATCCCATGACCAAGAGATCATAACCTAAGCCAAAATCAAGTCTGACACTTAACTGAGTCACCCAGGTGCTCCCATTCTTAAGATTATTTAAATTATTTTAACTATCTGATACTTGTAATTCTTATTTGCCCAAAGATTACCTATCTTCTCTCCTTCTTGCCACCTGGTAAGGGCACATATTTTACAAGGTAAGTAGAAGCTGTTCCCCAGGAATATCCATGCTCCTTTACTCTTTATTCTTTTAATTAATCTGCTCATTTTTCACCCTTTGAGATGTACTGCACATACCCTAAAACATAATTATTTCAGAGTTAGATGAGTTCTCAGAATTAAGAATTTCTAAGGAAAATAACTTCAATTACAAGCATCATTTATATTTTAGACTAAAAAGAAAAAGGTAAAAATAGTAGACAAAATCCCCAAATCATGAGCCTGAGCATTAGACATCTGCTAAAAAAATAGGCTTTGACAAGGAAGGATCCTTTTCCCCACAAAGTACACTACTACAAAGGTCATATCCATGGATTTACTGATCCTTCTTTAAAAGACCATGTATCCCTAGAAAAATCATGTTTTGTTCCAAGAATTCAAGAGGAATGGAATTTGGTTGTCAGAACAAGGAGGTTCCTCTTCTCACTTTAAGGAATGCAGTGACAAAGTTAGTTCTTTGCAGTGGGTGAAAAGCAGGGCCATTACACATGATGTTACTCAGGGCACACCCCTGTCCAAAGGTGAGGCAAGGGTGTGAATTTACCCTGTGCTCAGCTTGCCAAGCCTTCTCCCTGATGCAAGGCTGTTGCATAAAAAAAAGGCCTTTCCTTTGCACAAGGCCTCTATGTTCACAGAGGTGTGTGTCTTCACAGATCCATCCGGATGAGTTCCCCTTTTTCTATTTAACACAAAGGGCCTCTACCGCACTGCTGACAAAAGTCAGCTTAGTATACCTGAAATACTATAGACATCATCTGGTCAGTATGGTGCTTTAAGTTTTCTATGGCTAAACAGGTATGCTTTCTGACATCATTCATTTATTTATTCTGTAGAGAAACATAATTGTGGTCAGCTATGGGCCAGGGACAATCTTTGGAGCACAAAGAATGCACATGCAAACATATTCTGCAACTTTCAAGAACTGTCATTTAAAACAACTTCTACTAGGATGGCCAAAATCTAAAACACTGACAACATTAAATGCTGGTGAGGATGTGAAGTAACAAGAACTCTCATTCATTGCTGGGAGGAATGCAAAATGGTATAGCCACTTTGGAAGCCAGTTTGGTGGTTTCAAACTTAAAATACTATTACCGTATGATCCAACAATCACGCCCCCAGATCAAAGGAGGCAAAGGAGTTGAAATTTATGAAAAGGAGTTGAAATTTTATGTCCACACAAAACCTGCATGTGGATGTTTACAGCAGCTTTATTTATAATTGCTAAAACCTGGAAGCAACCAAGATGTCCATCAGCAGGTAATAAACCAGACATTGAAATATTATTCAGTGCTAAAAAGAAATGAGCTACCAAGCCATGAAAAGACATGGAGGAAATTTAAATACATTATTTCTAAGTGAAAGAAGCCAAAAGTTCCAACTATAAGATAGAGATTCTAGAAAAGGCCAAACTACAAAGATAGAAAAAAATCAGTGGTTGCCAGGGTTGGGGTAAGGGAAGATGAACTGGTGGAGCATGGAGGATTTAAGGCAGTGAAAATACTATGTATGATACTATAATGGTGGATACAAGTCATTCTACAGTTGTCCAAACGCATAGAATGCACAATCCCAAAAATGAACCCTAATTAAACTATATACTTTGAGTCAACATGTATCATTATATATCATGTTCACCAAAGTAACAAATGCACCACTCTGGTCAGGGAGTAGATAATGCAGGGGGCTATGAATGTGTCAGGGCAAGGGGTTAATAGGAAATCTCTGGGCAATCTGAAACTGCTTTAAAAAATAAAATAGGAAAGGATTGCACGACATTTCGCGAGTGAAACTATACAAATGACTAATAAGCACATGAAAAGATGCTCACTATCATTACTCATTAGGGAAATGCAAACCAAATCCCAAGAGATACTGCTTCATACTGACTAGGCAACTATAATCAAAAGACAATAACAAATATTGATGAGGATGTAAAAAAATGGTAACCTTCATACATTACTAGCATGAAATAAATGATATGGGCACTTTGGAAAGCCATTTGGGTGTTCCTCAAAATTGTAAACACAGATCATGCAACCCAACAATTCCACTCCCAGGTCTATACCCAAGAGGAATGAAAACATTTCCATGTAAAAACACAATGCCCATAGCACTGTTCACAATAACCAATAACTATCCACAAATTAGTAAATTGTTAAATGAAATATGGTATATCCAATAGAAATTACTCAGCAAATAAATAGAAATTCAGAAGCAAGGCATCTGGGTGGCTCAGTGGTTGAGCGTCTGCCTTTGGCTCAGAGCGTGATCCCGGAGTCCTGGGATCGAGTCCCACGTTGGGTTCCCTGTGAATGGAGCCTGCTTCTCCTCTGCCTATGTCTCTGCCTCTCTCTCTCTGTGTCTCTCATTAATAAATAAACAAAATCTTAAAAAAAAGTGGCACCAATACATGCTACAATACAGATACACCTTGAAAACATTATCCTAAGTAGAAGGAGCCAACACAAAATACACATAGTGTAAGATCCCACTGATACGAAATGTGTATAATAGGCAAATCCACAGAGACAGAAAATAGATTAGTGGGTACCAGGGACCGGGTGGTTAGTGGTGATGGTTGTGAATATACTGAATATGTAAGTACGCTTACCACCACTGAATTGTGCTTTAAGCTGGTCAATTGCAATTGGTGAATTAGATCTCAATGCAGCTGCTATAAACAAAAAATATTACAGGGTTTTCTTTGGCCAGGATACTATAAATTGCTTCATTTCTCTTAAAAGAAAGAAGAACCAATTAACAAAATAAGAAGTGATTTGGCCTAAGATTTCAGAAATATAGGAGATATAACAATGGGTCCCATGTAGAGAGGAGGTCTTGCTACAGCCATATCAGTTTCTCTCCTTTGTTCTCCTGGGACAATGAAGCAAGTACAGGTGATGTCCATGTCAATGGTATGGTTGGCTGGTTCAGGTTTGGAAAGAATCTTGTGGCTCACTATCCTTTAAAGTTAACTTTGGGAGCTAAAGCCATCCAGATGCCAAAGGCATTGACCCTTAGTAGGAAAGAACTTATCTCACTAACCTGCTTTCTGAAAATTCCGAAAAATCACCCTGAAGTTCAAACTTGTGCAGAATTTCTCCAATTAGATAGCCACTGGAAAATGCCTTTGCAAATGACTTGGGACCTGAATTTTGAAACATAAAGATAAAAAAAGTAAATTATGTTCCATAGAGAGCATAATTATTTTCATTATGTATACATAGAGCAAAACTCCAGAACTGGACTTGAACTCAAAATGCCATGAAAATACTTCCAGATACATCTTTTAATAATCACATAAAAAGATTGGAGCTTAACAGATCATGCCTTATAAAGATTCTTAAGTAAACATAAATCAATACTTGAAGATATATGAAATGTTGAAAGAAAACACAACTTTTGATTAAATTAAAGCACAGCAATAAAATTTATTTCAACCTTAGATCTAAAAAAACACCTTCAATTTATTTTACAGAATTACACTCTAATACCTTAGTTATCAAGGCAGTCTATGGATGATGATAACATATTCTAGCCAAAAGAGGTGCAATCTAACGTTAGTAAACTTTAAGACTTAATGTTAACCTTTTTAAAATGGAAAGTTTACAAAAATCATCTATCGACACCTTCTCAAATAAAACCTAATAAGCATAATCAAGCTTTCCCTTGGTAGTTCTGGAGGTCACTCTGGTCCAGTTGTTGTCCCACACAATGACAGAGATAGCTCAGAGGAAAACAAAGTTTGGAGCCAGGGACATCTGCATTGGAATCTTGCCTCTGCCCCTTACTAGCTGTGCAACCTCTGGCAAGCTGCTTACCCTCCCTGAGTTCCCAATGCCTCATCTCTAGATAGATAACCATATCTATATCTCTCTTGAAGAGCTTTTGTAAACATTAGAGGAGTATATGAGAATTGCTTGGTAGCATGCCTTCCACAGAGTAAGCACATAATAATAGGTGCAGGGAAAAAAAATGTGTTAATAAAGTTTGCTTTTTTAAAAAATGTCCTTATTTGTGGGTCACTTATATTTTTCTTACAAAATGAAGGATATCGGGTTACATGGTATTCAAGGATGATATGCAAAATTGATAGACAAAATAAATGTTGTCATAGGACAAAGCTATCATCTCTCAAATGATTTCAAAATCTTCCCAAAACCTTCAACATGTTCCTATCAGGGTCCTTTAGATAACAGCAGCCCAAACACTATATATCACTGAGGTATAGCAAGCTTATTGACACCAGATTGTCCTCTTTTATCTATTTGATCAGTAATAAGGTAGCTACTTGATTACAAGGATATAACGTTTCTTCCTGATTTGTAGTAATGGTACTTTGCGGATGCCTGCGTGGCCCAGTGGTTGAGCGTCTGCCTTCAGCTCAGGTAGTGACCCCAGGGTCCTGGGATCCAGTCCCACATCGGGCTCCCTGTGGGGGGGCCTGCTTCTCCCTCTGCCTGTGTCTCTGCCTCTCTCTCTGTGTCTCTCATTAATAAATAAACAACATCTTAAAAAAAATGGTACTTAGTGTGTGGTTGCTATGGTAGGGTGGTGGGGTGAGGTGAGTCGCCACAAGGCCACTGTTGCCCAGAGACCTTACTCAGCACACTACATACTACATGTTATCATAAGAATACAACTCTTGTATAGCTGACACAGCTCACAATTTTGCCAAAGCTCTCCTGATATTTGTTCTCAAAATATTTTATACTCTTAATAATACCTCAATTCTTAGCTTGAATCAATATATAATAAAAGTAGTTAAAAATTATGTCAACTATGCCCACTGATTCTATTTACTTAGGGCGGACTCCAGAACCATCCGGCATCACAATCTGTTGATTGTGTTTCCCAGCATCATACAGTAATAGTATTTGAAGCAACTGAAATCCAAATGGCTCTTTCCACATCCTAAGGATAGAGGTGTGCTATCTTCTCCTCCTGAGTCATTTCTGCTTCCTCCTTTCCTTAAAGACCTGACACTGTTGGCCACCAATGCTGCTACCTGGTCCTTTTTTTTTTTTTTTTTTTTTTTTTTTTGCTACCTTATCTTGGCTGCCATCATTGTCCCTACTGTGCCATATGGACAGCTCTGGCTACATCTTGCACCTCTTCTATCTTTGCTTCCTTCTTTCTGGTTTTTCCCCCCCTTCTCTCTTCCCTACCCCATCCTTATTTTCCTCTTATCTTTCTCAGGAGCCATTTGACATACAGCCATTGTCAGACTATGGATATCTATTAATAGTCTAAAGACTACTGTTCTGAATTCTGAAGCTGTTGCTCTGTCACCTTCAGGTAGTTCCATTCCTCTCTCTCTCCCTCTGGATTTTGCACTGGATCTGCTGTTCCTTTGACTGAAAGCCTGAAGTCTAGCTGGTGAATAACCAGGGAATATCTGTATCCTGCTCTGTCGCCCTCAATGTAGTAGGCAAATGACCTTTAGTAAACTGTTTATTACACAAAGGCCACAGAAAAATAAAATCATAATCCACTTCCTTTGAAATGCATGACATATTAATAAGGCAATTCTGATATGAGCAAAATAGAGGCATTTATGGATATAATGGTCGAAGAACAGCAAACACTTATTTCATTGTCAAATAGTTTACTACAAAGTACAAAATCATGTCTGCAGTTTCGTATGCGTAGGACACTTCAGATTTCCTGTATGCTGCATAAGCAGAAAAGAGAACAGTGAGTGAAGAATGAGAGCAAATGAGAAAACATGTAGAAAAAAAGAAAGGAAAAAAAAAGATGACTATGTGCAAGAAATTAGACAGAAAGAAGATGATGAAGACAGCATATATTAGCCAGGAATGTACAGATTGAAAAGTATGAGAAGACAGAGAGGAAGCCAGAGAGAGAGAGAGAAAGAAAAAGAGAAAGGAGAAGGGGTTGGGGAAAGGAAACAACAAGGGAAAAGAGGAAAAAGCAAAGGAAAGCTTATTTTTGCCCCTTGGTTTGTTATATTTGTCTTCCTACTAAATGTTCCTGGATACCATGACTAATTTCATGATGGCCACCTTATAGAAGCCATCTTCTTTTCCTGCAGGAAAGAAGAGGTGGGCTGACTTTAGGACAAGATCAATGAATAATACAATAAATAATTAAACCGTGGGAGCCCAGTGATATTCTTCATCCTGAGCTCTAAAGTAATTTACATCTGGGACCAGGTCATTCAACAACAACTCAACTTCGCATCCAATTTTCCATGCAACACGCCTGATTCCTATCACTATGGTGTTCTTTTGCTGCAATCTTTGATGTGGGCATTTCTGGAAGGTCCAGATAAGGCAGGATACAACAGATGAAATGACCCATGTGCTTCCCACCAAAATGACCCTGAACCAGCTGGAGAAAGCACATAAAGGAGATAAGCTGCTCGTATTCCACAATGGAAATGAGGATACCGCAAGCTCTGGAGAAAGATTCTCTGGGTTAGATTCCTTGTCCATTTACAAGCCACTGAACTCTGGGCAATTATATAAGTCTCAGTTTCTAGTCTTGAAAAGAGGGAGAGTGACAGGTTCTACCTCAAAAGAGTTAGTTTGAGAAGTAAAGGAGATACTGCATGTAAATGTTTAGCATAATTCCTGGCGTATAGTTAAGTGATCAGTGACAATTTTTGTTATTATCACTGCTTCCTAATTTAAAATAACAGGTCATATTAATTACACAATCCATAAGCTCAATGACCATAGTACTAACGCCCTTATTTTAAAAGTAATTCAATACTTAGCAAATATTAGACACTGTCTTTAAATTCAAATACAGACACCTCCCCCCCAATCAGGTCCAAAAAAGGTATAACACTCCCACCAGAAGCACAGGTATGTAATCAAACACAGTTGATTTCTACAGCAAAACATTTCAATTGGAGAAATAAAGACTAAGCAAAGCATGACAGCATTTCTGGTTAAGTTTTGCTACCAAATGAATAAAGAGATCCTTGAATTTCGGAAATGTAAATAAGGGTCTGTATACCTATAGATTCTGTGCTTAGTGGTCTTCACTGTTCTTTTACTAGAAAAGCAAAGATCTAGTCTGTGTTATCAACCACATTTGAAAAGCCAAGCAAATTTACTTCCATTTGAGAGAAAGAAAAGCAGCTGCTGAGGGCTTGGCACTGACCTGGCCCCATCAGGCCTTGGTGTTCCCAGGAGTTGGCCCAGCACTCACAACTAGGCCTTGGCATTCTCCTGCTGAACATAATCAATTTCATAGCACACCAACGCCAGACAAGGCCACTCTGTGACCCTGACAAACCAAGACAAAAACAAAATTCCTCTGTAATCATGTCTGTATTCAGACCAAAACAGTACTGTCCAAAACACAAAAATGACCAAAAATGCCCCTATTGTGGTCAATATAAGTGTTTGTTGCCTTTTTTTTTTTTTTTTTTTTTTACCAATTATGGCTTTGTCTCATTCTGTCTACTTCCTAGATAAGATTTATTAAGATACCCAGTCATAGAGTTCCCTATGCTTCTTGGCATGGTCCAGTTCAGAGCAAAGCACTGCTTCCTCAAACCCTCTTCAAAAAACACCTAACACAAACCTAGATGTTTAAGGCCTTTTTAACACCCTCCTACTGAATGACCCACAATTCCCCATGGCATGTTTTCTCTTGTTGGACACGAGTTAATAAGCACAACTTTTTTTCTGTCTCTTATTTAGGATGATGCCTACTATCATGCCTATCCTATAAGAGGCATGTTGTAGCTACTTGTTTATTACATGAGAGTATACCAGTGAGGTAAAAGTAAAGTATTATTTATTATTCAACTACGGGTGTGTAATCCTATGGTCTCTGGCTGGAGGACATTGACAATTTATTTTCTTCCAGGATAACAAGAGGATGATCAACCCTCTTCTTTGAAGATCCTATCATAATTCTCAAGATTTACTATCTGAAACAAAATCTCCAGATCGTTCTAAATTTCTCTGATGGTTAAAACATTGGGCGGCATTCTTTTCTTGGGACTTCATGTCTTCACATTTTTGACATTGATTTACACAACAGCCTTCAGCTATCAGATTGGATGCGTCAATTTCTAGGCAACGGAAGCCAAATTTTCATCAAGGAAAATGCTGCTGAGCTGGCCAGAAAATGACAAAATCCATTGCATTATGAGAAACAATATAT